TATATATATAATATTGTGTATGTGTGTCAATATGGGTGTAGTGATTTAATTAACCCGAACTGGATTCGAAATCTTATACCTGAACGCAAGACAATGTATACATAAATATATATGCTCGTATAAAGGATATTTGCTCGTTAGGTATATTTATAAAAAAATTCTATTCGGGTTCATTATACGCAAAATAAATCTGTAATACAGTTACGAATCAGAGCTTCGCACGATGATACACACGAAAGCGGAACCTGACCACGCAATCGTAAAGCATGTAACTGCGATACTCCAGGCAGATAAAACATTATTATGTTGCATGAAAATATCTATACAATGACTGCATTGAGGTCAGTCGATGGGTAAATACCAGGGATTACCAGGCGCTCCGGTTCGGTTGTGCTTATTTGACGCTCGCTCATAGCGCTACTTTAAAATTATATTGAGTGTATACATTGATACCTTGCGGTATCCCTGTACTAACCTCACTCACCTCTTCAGTAAGCTGAAGAGGAACAGTTGAATGTGTGCAATTCGGATTCTATATAAACGCGTTATGGCAATAATATCCTTAACTTGATGTGTACAGCGGATGATAACAGTTCTCGGATTATGAGCTATTAATTTTGTCCACGAGTGAGAGCTTTTTCAAAATAAATAAATCAGGGGGTGCTCATCGCTGCTCACAGGTCAGACACAGGAGGGTTATTTTTAAAATTTTGGGGGTTTAATATTCATTATATATTTGTAATAACTATGGTTGTGCAAGAGTTCGAAGTATCGCCTACGCTTCCAGAATAACCTGTGCCATGGCATAATCGCCGTCATGCGATATGGAGAGGAAAATCCTATTCACGCCGACAGTGTTAAGGATTTGCCGAAGGTGTACACTTGGCTGTATTTCAGGCAGCCCGTTCGCGTTTTTACGCACCGACGTGTCCCTCCAGGAGATGACATGTGGATTAACTGCTTTGTACACCGCCTCTTTCACTGCCCACCTGTACGTTATTGAGCTTGTAGAGTCAATTGGGGATGATTGTACGACACTTCTGGCGCTCATACGATTCTATAGTAATCCTCGAAAATTATGGTGTCGGCTTGTAAAAAAAACAGCACTTAATAGTAAACGTTATGTGCCTCGTGTACAGAAAGAGCTGTGATCAAAGTATTTCAAAGTGATAGATACATGTTTATAATCAAATAATTTTGTGCTTATGTTAGCCGGGGAAGGTTTACATCGAGCTATGCTCATATCACCAAACACACCTCGAAGCCAGATACTGGTGTGCACTCGATTCGCTTGCCAACTTGCGTTTGTTGTACTCGTCTATTTCTGAACTTACGTATACCTTCTCCAGGAATCTGAGTGTTAAACATAGTTTGGTTAGCTAACCCGAACTAACTTTAGAGAGGAAGATAAGAGGAGAGAATCTTGAAAGACTACTTAATGTGTAGAGGGCTCAATCGTCATCACGTTCATATTTTATGGCACGAGAAGAGTAAGTATACACGCACTTTTGACCCTATTTTTGACTCGTTACATTACCACTTACACGCTACCATCTTCTAGATGTAGGCGATCCAACTCGATTCGAAAGTCACAAACATATATTTTTTTTGGCTAAATCTTGCCGCAAGACATTCAATCCGAAGTGACAATGAAATTCGGAATGCTAATATTCATATCGCTATATCGATCTCTGACTGGTAGATTGACACGGAACTCTCGCAAAAGCAAGAAAAATTAGAAGGGCATGTGAATTGATTCGACGGGGTAGCGCTTTCGACCAACAGCACAACTACTAGCTTGCGAAGTGATAGAAACAAGGAATACGCATGCAATCAGAAGGATATATCGTACTCATTCGGTCGCACTAAGTAATAACTGTGCACGTAAAGACCACAATAGTTATCACCTGTTGCCGCTCCTACGTATGGCGTTGCGTATCCTAGAAACCTGTACAAGGTCCACACCCAGCCCTTTGATGCCCATAATTGTTTGAATATTTATCTCAGCAGGTGACTACTGTGCATGCGGTCTATTATACTCTTCCAATTTTATATTTTGGGGTCCGGACACTCCGGTGTCCCTTCTCTTTACCGAATTTTACATAAATATTGTTATATTAACTAATGAGTAATGACATCCCATTTCAGCGTGACATTCAATATGTCCACCTCCCACTCCCAGACGGACTCTGAGATATGCATCGAACAGACGAACCAACACTGTAGTGAAAGAGTATGGGCTGCAGCCTATGTGCTTTACAACTATCTAATTTCCAATAGAAGTGCCGATGATGCATCCCAAGCAAATATATCGTTACAAGATAGACCAATATACCTATATACAGAAGCAGCTGTGAATGTTTTGGAGTTAGGAGCAGGAACTGGGTGGCTGGCTTTACAAATCCATGAAGCCTGCCCAACAGTCAACTGGTGTGCTACTGAGTCGCCTCACTTTGGGGCGATGGAGAGGTTAGAACAAAACATTAACGAAAGAACTATAAAAGGCGACCCCGTCATAAAGAAACGCGATTGTGATGGAATTGACGACCTCCCAACGCTCCATCAGAACGTAGATACAAACAAGCGGAGGAAAACCAACCTTACACACCCGAAAGAATGTGATAAACATGGCAGCCCTGAAGTTAAACCGGGGATCGTATTGAAACGAGATACGGAGTCAGGTACTTTACGAGCAGAATCTTTGGATTGGATAGCTGCTAAAGAATCGCCATTAGTCACCGAGAATTGGGATTTAATAGTAGGCAGTGATCTCATATACAGCTCCGAAGGCGCGAGGCTACTAGTAGAGTGTCTGCATGTCTTACTGTCTGCTCAAGATACCAACTGTTTGTATGCACATACATGTGGACGTTGGAATGGACACGGATTCGACCAGTTGTTGCACAGCGAACTACTTCGAGTCGGATTGGACGCGATCGCGGTCGGAGGGGATACACTGAACGGATCAAGCGAGAGTAAACAGCACGTAGTTGTATTCGAGATTCGATTGAGAACGTCACAAAATTGTTCGACTGCGGAAAGTATCGAGGGTTCTATTGAAGATGGAGCACACCACGTTTTGCTACGAGCGGCCCGTTTAGAAAAGGAGGAGGCTGAACGCCTGGAAGCGACGATGACAAACGATGAAGTAATGGAAATGCAGGGGTTGCAGCAGTTGTTTGGAGGGTTGACGTAGATATGTAAGGACATTCCAGAATGTGGCTTCAGTTTGCCTACCCGCCTAAAAAAAGAGCAGTTAACTGTGTAGTGTGAATCTTAGGTACTAAGCCATCTTTGTAATTACGAAGATGCGTCGATCTCAGCCTTGAAACTTTTAGATCTCTATACGACAAATGGTTGGCCAGGTGCTGACGCTGAAGGCGCCTGAAGCACACCCGACGTAAAAATACCTTTTTAAATGTATGAAGAGCGATGCATGAAACACAGCCTCTTGCGAAGTCGTGTACAAAACCCAACGAGGTGTAAACCCTGCGAATACATAGCACAATTTACAGAGAAGCAAAACTGTGGAAATAATTAATAAATAAGAGCGAGTGATAAGCGCCATCTTGCCTCTCAAGTCTCGTCTCGTATTATATTTGCAGATATATTCTTTCTCCCTGTACAAATTTCCAAGTTTGTAGATTGGTCATCGATCAACAACCACCTTTCCAAATGCACACCTTCATCACCGATGTCAGAAACAATGACGAGTACCGCTCATACCTCGTACTAACGGTTTTTGCACCTAAAGTGGTAGATGGACCATCGAGGGTGACCCGCGTTTGGAGGCGGTACTCAGAGTTTATCAAACTCAGAGAGTATCTGGCGCGTGTGTACTCCTTTGTCATACTTCCAGTTCTGCCACCGAAGAGGGTATGTCGATGCCAGATGGTAATTATTTATCTCGGTTTAGGATCCCTGTGTTCCCTTCCTTTCACCTGTTTGTTTATGTCTCCTTAGGAGTTTATGCCACGTGATGTGGCCGTGAAGTAAAATACCACGCTTCTTATTACAGATTAATTCGACCGACGAGAAAGTGATAAGCGTGAGGCGTTCTTCGCTGGCCTCATACCTGCAACGTCTTCTGGACCACGATTTAACGTCAAAGGATACGAGAGTATTATTATTTATCACCGCCGAACCGTTTGACGCGGCTGTGCTCTTGGAAGGGAAGCCTCCTCGCTCGTTGAGCATATCTCTCACAAAACCTATCGTTTCAGATAGCGTATCAGAAATAGTCCGCAGCGATTCGAAAGCAATCGCATTACAGACGGCTCTTTCCAATGTCCTAAGACACCGAAGCTGCAGGTCGAAATGTTTACAAGACCTCCGACAGAATTTGGAGGTGTGTGGGGGATTATACCAAACCTGGGCCAAGGACGAAACTGATCTAAGGAGTCCTTTGCAAACCATGTATAACTTGATATGCCAGCAGCCAGAGTTGAGAGGTAATGCTATGGGATGCACGAAACGAATGAGCGAGAATTGCCGTATGCTAGGATCACTGAGGAAGGCTGTTGCTGCCTATAGCGCAAAGTGTTCCGCTCAGCAAGATAAATTAGAGCAGCTAGTCCGTGCACAGAAGGACGTAGACGATATAAAAGCTGGAAACAGTATGTATCCTTGCATGTTGTGAATGCGATGTATTTCGTTTATATCTGCTTACCTGTATCATTATCTGATCTATAATATTAATATGGATTCAACCGTGAACTGTAGATCCGAGCAGGTTACGAGCACTGTTTTCAGGCCAGTCATCAGTGGACGCCACCTCACAGCTTCTTCCGAATGTACAGGCACACTTAAAAGAGGTTCGCCGATTTATATTGTGCAGGTGTATAAATATGAAATCTGCAACCACCGCTTCGCTTCAGTGTGTTTATACAATAGCTGAGATGAGTTGATGGCTTTTTATCAGCCCAAGGACACTATTGCGCTTGCTCAGCTTTTCACACATGTATAGGCGAGTTTGCTTTTATTGACCCTTTTGCAACTGTTTTTTTCCATCGACAGGCGAAATGTATCTCAAAACGAGGCGATGCCGAATTAAAGGTGTGACTAGCACATCAGTAAGATTTATTTTCGACCATGTTGAGTTATTTAATCGTAGTGGGTACGGAATATGATTGCCATCCGTGTCGATTGCAATCTCGCCAATGTGCACTGCAGATGTCGTTATATTGCCAATTCTCACTTGGTATAAGAATTTATACAGATATCTTCCTCTCCCCAAAATACCATCCTCTCTAACTCAGATCTACGAGCGTCATGTGCAGTATGAGATATACAAATTCTTCTGGAGAATGGAATTGGACTTTATGCATGAAGCCCGAGATACCTGCAAAGCCGACTTGAGCTTGTTAAATAAGGTAAGCGATACATAGGCTGTCTCTCCAAGATTTCGATAAAGCTTGTAGTTCATTTTGTCTTTATTATGACTTGCTACCTATAATCGTCATCTTGTTTGTACTAGCAAGTACACTCGGCACGGTGGTCCATTATATATCACGAAAGATACTTTATACTTTCTTCATACTGTCAGTGTGTGGTGTTCGTTTCCTCTGTTGTAATTCCATTGTTTCCTCCTTTGTATGTCACTTCGGCAGGAATTAGACATATGGAGGCAGTATATATGAGGCAAACCCCGGGGTTGGCGTCTGATTTGGCCTTATTGATTAATATATTCTTTGATAGGATTGTCCCCGTTGTTGATAGTACCCTTTCTCGCAAACATGTGCAGATATGTTAATGCAGTATTCTGGAAGGAATAGAGAGGCTCATAGTCCGACGGGCGTAGTCTCGAGCATTCTTTCGAGGAAAGGACAAATCAACTGTAATAAAACGTCGCGTTTCCTGTTTCGTTACAACGCGAGAATCCTGTGTAGGCAATAATGTAGAGATTGAATTCATACGAAGAGTCTCATCGTCTATAGATGTATAACATGTTTTCACGACCCAGGCTCAGCTTCGGACAATAGTTGGCGGCTTCGCAAAAGCGCGGCCTTTCACAAGAAGCCGAGCAGATACATCCAAAAGAAATCGGATGCATATTCAATAATCGGCACGCAAACATATGCAATTTATGAATAATCAAATCCTGAGTTTGCTTTTAGGCGCCGCTACTACAAAAAAAATATTTAGGAATCGAGAAAACTTACCACGGGGCGCTAGCACTTCCAGCACCGTCGCATGAATGTCACCAACTGGTCAATAGTGGCTCTTTTCTTGGGATCAGGTTCTAACATCATGTGAAGTAATTTAAGCGCGGATGTTTCCAACGAGCTCCACGGCAGTTGAGTAGACCTGTCATCCAGATACCTGACATACTCCCTTGAATTCATACACGCACGGCCCCATGGGAAGCGACCGGTTAGCAGCGTGAACATCACGATACCCAGCGCCCACACATCCACCATTTTCCAGTCGATATTAGCACATTTAGCCAACATCTTCTCTCTGGGTAGCCCTAAGCACTCAACTAGCTCAAATGACATATAAGGGATAGTTCCTACGATTGTGTGCGAGGTGCTCTTCTCAAGCACAGCTGACAGGCCAAAATCTATGAGCTTGATTGTTGAACCTGTCTTCGTGCTTAGCACCACATTTTCGGGTTTGATATCCCTATGTGCTATATTCCGATGGTGCAAGTACTGTATCGCGCCGCTTAATTGATGAATGTACGACCTCACAGTGTATTCAGGAAGGCCGACATCCACAACCACAGCATCGAAGAGATCTGGTCCTTCCAAGTACTCACAAACCATGATCACCTAAAGAAGAGCGAATTATAGAATATAAATATCCGTAAGGGAACAGCAAAGGGGCAAAATGTCAATAAAAGAGGTAGCCATGGAAGATACAAGAAGTTGGTACTATTGTATAAGGCATCATTGTATGGCACTCCTCTTCGCGGATGAGCTGCATCTAGAATAGTGTAATTTGAAAATTTGGTACTTTTGTATAAGGCATCATTGTATGACACTCCTCTTCGCGGATGAGCTGCATCTAGAATAGTGTAATTTGAGCGTATCCATTTTTAAAACTACCCATGCTACAAACTGAACATAGCATCCCAGGGCACCGATGTTCTACGTTGAAGAAGTAGAGAGATACACTAAGCACATTGACGACAAGCTATTTGACAATTCGAAGGGTGCTATGAAACCTGCACTATCTTCCATCGATCACTGCAATAAAACGGCGGTTACCAAGGGTAGCCATCGAATGTAACACTAATTGGTTTTTGTTCCAGATCTTGTTTGTATTGGGACCTTCAAGGTGGCAGAAGTAAAGCACCTACATTATACCGACATCGCGGATGCTATAAACTTTACACACAACGATCCCGGGCTATGATAATCACCATAGTAGGACTTAGCACATTAAGGAGAGTCTGTCTGGCTAAAGAAGGTACTTGGAAAATGACAGGATACTTGGAACATACGCTATCCTCCAGATCGATCACTGCATACAATTGGCAGATGCTAGGGTGTTTCACCTGGGCCGAAACAAATACCTCGGTTTCCAGGCTCACCAACGCCCTGTTGCACCACAGTGAGTGAAGTGAAAGTTAAGCAAAGTGGTCAGACCTGGATGTCAATATGCACAAGTACGTGCCTGTTTCATGAGATGGTCAAAATACTATTCTGAGGCGAAGTGAGTGCGTGCGAGCTACATATTCATAAAGTGCCACCTTTCGTGTCTAGACACTGAGTCTGTCATTTGCACTCGTCTGCTATGGTAGTCAATAACCAATCTTATACAATGTGTTCGCTTGAGAGCTAGATATTCAAAATACCGCAACACCTCCCGTGTCTGCCCATCGATACAACCCGATACAACCCAGTTCAATATAAACACTCGCTTTACTGCGTCGTATTGAAATGAACGCAAGATAGTAGGTTATCAAAACTATCCAAGTACTCAAATTTACACACACTGAATTAGTCTACAGTGGCTATGTGCACATCCAAGCGTGAATATGTGCATTGCTACGTTTCTGAATACATACGGGCGCTGCTTGCTTCAATACAGCTCAATACAACTTATATGTATATGACACCGCCTCATTTTCTTGCAAAGGACTTAATTTTGTATAATATCACAATCATCACATTGCCGTTGTGTACACACTCGCTTGGGATATTTTGCCACGTGAGTCTTTAAGCGTGAACACGTGCGAAGGGCTGTTATCACATACATACCTGCGCTGTTTGCTCTGAATCTTCAGGACAACCTTGCGGTTAGAAAGAACATGAATTGCTTCGTATATCGACGAAGCGGCGCCCTCACTAATCTTGTTCGTGCGTATATAGTGATCTAATTGGTCAGTAAACGGGACTACCGGGGTGAAGTGGCTAAACGAGGTGCTGGGTACGCTCCCGAGCATGGTGTCCGTTGTGGCAGCAGTTATGTCATTTAAGGACGAGTGATTCTGTGCCATCAAGAAGGGCATTATACATGAAGGGAGACACACCCCTCCCTACAACGCGCGAACTCGAATAACTGGGCCTGTACTTACTGTACATTTGCAACACGTGTACTTATAATCTAACCTAATCAAGCGGGCATAAATATTTATAACGATTTTATTCTACATTCCGCGAAAAAGTGTTCTTCAATCAAATCGAATTACTTCTTGATTATTCTAGTACAGCTTGTGGAATGTTCGGTACTAACAAGATCTGTGGCGAACACACGCACACATATTTTTATTAATAAAATTATATATATATATATATATATATATATATACATCAAGCTGTAATACCATGACACCTCTCTACTACTAGCTAGAGCAGAGCGAAGAAAAGAAAAGAAAATATGGCTGAACAGACTAACGTCCGTAGGCCGTAATATTATTAATTTATTTATTTGATATATATACTGTCGATCAAGAAGGCTCTCTCCTCTCTCTCGCCCGCAGAGTCTCTCTCTCTCTATTTACTCTAAAGAGAGAGAGACATTCATAGCGTTCTTCTTCATACCCTTCTTCAGATGGCTATGCCTAAAAAGAAAACTGTACGTAGTATTTACACAATAAATTTGTACTCTAAAATTAAAAATACTATACATGGTATAGTAGGCTATCCTTTAAAAAGAAAACAATAAATATAAATACATAAACTAAAATATATATTTTTTTATTTCAAAACAAAAATAGAAATATCATATGTACATATTTAAATAGCCACATTACAATAGTGCGAGGGTATTGAATAGTGACTAGTAGCTCGAAAGCTGCACGTATTGTCCACATCCTTCGTGATATGATGGTTTATGGAACGTGATGGGGGGCATCAATGAGCTTGACCTAGCCAAGCAGGGGGCAAAACTCCTGCAAATTGACCCCAACCAACCGACAAAAGAATTGGAATGGACAATTACGACTTTATTCAGACTAGTGGATGGTGAAAAGAACGGCGTGATTCCAGCTAAAAAGTTAGAGGAAACGTTCGTGCGATGGGGTCTATCGACTGAGTATGCATCTTTACTAACAGAGTCGTGTGACCATGACCATGATGGGCTTGTCAAGTTCTCGGATTTTCTCAACTTCTTCCACCACAAAGAAATACAAATCAAAGCACTATTTGATGAAATTGATACTTGTAGCAACGGCAAGCTAACTGTACCCGAAGTATGTATGTATGTATGTATGTATATATGTATCTATATATGTATGTATGTATATATGTATGCATGTAATAATGTATGTATGTATGTATATATTTATGTATGTTTATATGTATGCATGTAGGCATGTATGCATGTGTGTATGTATGTATATATATATATATGCATATTTATATGTATGTATGTATGTATGTATGTATGTATATGTTTATATTATATATATATATATATATATATATATATATATATATATGTATTGTTTGTTTAGTTAGTTAGTAGGTAAGTTAATTAAGTTTAGTTAAGTTTAGTTAAGTTAGTAGTACCGTTAGTTTAATTTATTTTAAGTTAAGTTAAGTTAGTTTATTTTATTAATTATTAATAT